GGAGAGAACACGCCCTGGAACAGCCTCCATTCCTAGGGCAGTACTCTACTTCCCAGGGCTCATGCTCAGTAACCCTCAGAGCTTTTCAATCCACGTAGGACCTCCCTTGGCTACAAGCTACAAGTTGGCCCCTGCTGTACTCCTGTCCAGGCATAAGCACTAACAGCATGAGCCCTTTAAGGTTTGAAAAGTGCTTTGCAAATGCTAGCTCATTTATTCCTGACTACAACCCTAGGAAAGAGGTCCCACAATTATCCTCACTTTACACACACTTGGATGCTGATGTGGCTCTGTACTTACTTTTCTTGGGTCTATTTACCTGCCTATTTTCTTATTTGAGATGGGGGGGAGGGTGGTATGGGCCTCCTGGAGAGATCTGCTAACTGTTAAATTGGTGAATTAATTATTACATACAGAAATGTATATGAAATGGAAAGTAATATATCATCCTAATAAAGAATTTATTTTCTAATGAGGGACATAGATTAGATGGATAGATAGATAGATAGATAGACAGATATGATAATGTATAGGTTTAGATGGAATAAACATAAACATAATTATAGGGTAACTATGTAGGGGGAACTAGCATTTGGAGGATATTGAGAGCCACATTAAATGGGCAATCTTTATTGAATCCAGCTTGCAGAACACTCACACTTTGGTTTAGCATTTCTAGTTAACATTGGGCTTTTAACATCAACCATTATTATTATTTTTAATATTAGATTATCACCTTAATTTCACAGTAGTTTAAACAAAAAAAAGCTTCCCTCTGGCATCTCAGCCATCACAGGTGAGAAGAAGAACTTTCTGATCATAAATTATTTTTTCTTTGATAGTTGCACTCTCCCTTTGAAGACATGGCCGATTGATCATTTATTCCAAGGTGCCTTGTTGCCTAAGCAACTCCCAAGTCCCATGACTTGTTTATCATTCCACATAAAAACAGCTTGAAAGTATGTAAAGGTTGAGGAGGAATCAAGAGCCTCTGAAAGGTCACTCTGTCTGTTTTTTGGTCTCCAGGGAGATTCAGATCAAACCCACCAGAGACCTATCTCAAGATGGATTCTACTTATTCAATAACATTGTAAATAAACTTTGAGGAATCAGGACCCTTGCTGTCACTAAATAGGAATACTTGAAACACACAGGCTCATCCACTCATTCACTAACCAAGACAGGCTTTGAGACCTTTGCCCTTGAATAAAGGAGAACATGGATTTTGAGCTGTAGGAGACCCTGGAGGTCATTGAGTTTAACATCTTCCATTTCACAGATGAGGAGACTGATGACCAGAAGAGGAGAAGTGACTTTCCTCGAGCTATGTAGCTAGTGACTGGCCTGATATCAGCACTCTATCCATGTGACCGGACTGTCTCTCTGTGATTCCAGTCCTCCCAGGGAGGTGGGCCAGCTCTTTCTTTGGCCAGCCCACTCAGTTCGAAGCTGGCAGAACAAAAAGGGGATGTGATCTACTCAAGGCCAAGGATGGAACAGGGGAAAGCCACCTTCCAGGGGTGAAGTAATGCCTGGGTAGGTTTCGCTCTGCTCCAACCATTAGACTGGGAGCTTCTCAAGGCTGGGACTGTCTTTTGCCTTTGTTTGTATCCCCAAAGCTTAGCACTGTGCCTTACCTTAATAAATATTATTGACTGACCAACCCACAGCCTTCTGTCCCATCATTTCAACTCTAGGAGCCTCAATATGGAATAGAATTCTTCCCCTAGGATGTACTAACTGGGTGACTTTGGGGAAATCACTGACTCTTCTGAGTCATTCTTCTCATTTGTAAAATAGGGAAAATAATATATTTATTACTGACTTAAGATCTGTGACAGCAAAGGATTATGTAAACTTGATGGTGATATCCAAATATGAGTGGCTATTGGTATTTTGATGAAATGTTGGAATATAAATCCATGTAGTTATTTACACACATGTGTATATGTACAAATCTATGTATATACATAAATTTATATTGTTGTTCAGTCATTTTTCGATCGTATCCAACTCTTTGTGACCCTATTTGGGGTTATCTTGGCAAAGATCTTGGCATGATTTACCATTTCCTTCCCCAACTCATTTTACAGATGAGGAAACTGAGTCAGACACAAGGTTAAGTGACTTGTCCAGGGGCACACAGCTAGTAAGTGTCTGCACCAGGAAGATGTCTTCCTGACTCTAGAACCAGGGCTCTATCCACTGTACCATCTAGCTATCCATAAATTTATGTATATACAAAATCATTCACATATACAAATATACATTTCTAAAGCAAAAAACACCTTTGATAACCTTAATTCACCACTGTAGAAGTGAGGGACCTAAGAGTTAGTCATCTATATGGTACAGTACTTAGAATGCTGGACCTCAATAAGATCTAAGTTCAAATACTACATCAAACACTGCTAGTGTATGATCCTGGGCAAGTCATTAACTCTCTATGCCTCAGTTCCTTCATCTGCAAAAAGGAGAGGATAAACAACTATCTTTTAGAGTGGTGATGAGGATGTAGTCATAAAGTGCTTAGCCAATCTTAAAATGTTATATAAATGTTAGTTAACATTATTATTAAAACTACTGTGTCCATTTTCAAATTTACCCCCATGCCCAGTGTTTGGACAATGAGAAAAGCTAAGATGGATCAGGGTCATTACAATACAGAGACGCTAATACAACAAGTCAAGCTTATACCTGAGGCAGCAGTAGGGAAAACAAGTCTTGAGATGCCAGTATCCCTTATAGCAGCCTAGATAGAATGTCAGGTTGTTGAGACCTGGGCCTATTTCCTGTCTAGCTTTGTATGCCCACACCCAGCAGAGTGCCTGGCATATAATAAAGAGCACTTAGTACGTGTTGATTGGCTGACTATGCCTCACTGAATTCAATTTAGCTCGATTGAACGAGCTCTTTAACAAATGATTCTTATGTGTAAGGCCCTGAGAACACAAAAAATGACCGAATGAATGAATGAATGCAGAGAATTTATGAAGTATTCACTATGCATTAAGACCTGGGGATGCGAAAGCAACATCTCGACCTCAGAGGACTTGCATTCTGATAGGGGCAGACAATTGTCATGGGTAGTAGTGGCCAAGAACAGATGGCTTGATCTGAGCAGTCACAGAAGTGGTGGCAATAGCCAGAGCAGAGTTGATTCCTAGGCCCTTTCCAGAAGCAGTCAGAATTTTGATTTTTTTCTTATTCCCAGAATAAGAGCCTGGAGTGTATGGCTGGATGGAATGTGAAGGCCAGCTGTGTGGTCTGGTGTGGCCTGAATAAGGTCGGTTGTCAGTGACTCACTCACCACACAGGACAGCATAGACTCAAAGTATATGGTCCAAAGCTGAGCAGAGGGAGGGAGTAGTATTATCTATTATGATAATATATTCATATTAGAAAATCCAGGAAGCAAACAAAGGATACACGGTGGAGAATGTGTTTGACTTCTTTGATAATCACTCAATATAGTAAACAATATGGTCAAGGGAAAAGAACATTGATCTGGTAGGTGGAGGTTCTGGCCTGGTCTCTGCCTTTCACTAGCTAGCCTTGGTTGGGCCTGTTCTGCTGAGCAGAGAGGCTTTAGTTTGCAGGCTGGTAGGACGAGACCAGCACTAGAGGCCAAGGCCTGTTAAGATGCAAAGTCGTGTGTCATTTGGATGGAGGGGGGTCATAAGAGAAAGTCATGTCCGCCATTCTTTCCTTTTGGCACCACGGGCACCAACTCCAGTTGGTGCTGCACAAAACAAAGACATACAAAAGGTAATCTTTGGTCTAAAGGAATGTATATTGTACTGGGGAATATAAGATGATACAAGATCCTTTGAGCCTACTGACAGCACAAACAAGGAGGAAGTTCAGAGAAGGCTTCCTGTAGGAGGGGCTCTGCAAAGCCAAAAAACTGTTAATTATATGAGGCCAAGGAAAGGAGGGAGCACATTTCAAGTGCAAAGGTACGGAGGTGGGAATAACAAATCAGGGAACAGGTAGCAGTACATTCTAGCCCGCAGAGTGTGTGTGGCAAGGGCAATGATGTGAAAGAATTTAGGGAAGATATTTTGAAGCAAATTGTGGGAAACTTTAAATGCCAAGTTAAAAGATTAATTTTGTCTGTGTGTTATTATTAGAAATCTGTCATTGTAGATCTATATTTATTTTATGTATATTTGATCCCAGAGGCAATAGAAAGCTGGTGAGAATTCTTGAGCTTGGTAGTGACATGCTAAGACCTGTGTTTTAGGAGTGTTTTCCTGATGAGTATCAATAGCAACAATTATCAATCATTTATAAGGTACCTACTATGTACATCAAGCCCAAGACATGGCCTTAAATATTTAGTGACTGAGTGAATCATTCTGCTCAATATTGGAAACAGAAATACAAAGAATTTGAAAAATCCTTCCTGGGCTGTATGCAAGATGGGCTGGAGCAAAAAGATACTACAAGCTCAATTAGGAGGTTGATAGTGCCATCCTGGAAAAAGGCGGTGAGCACTTGTACTGGGCTGGGAGTGGCCCCAGTGGTCTGGGAGGAAGATTGGGCTGGAAATAGAAATTGCAATCATGTTTTGTGGCCATCCTGACATGACAAGAACACAGCAGGATTGGAAGTTACTGAGTCAGACAGGATAAGCATCAGTTCCTTAAATCTGAACCCAAATTGTCTTCATGTGATTTCCATCACTCACCTCGTGAGGGTAGACTGCAGGCAACAGGCCATCCTCCCACTGCCCGCCTCCTTTTCTTTGACACGTGCTTTAGTTCTCCAGAGAAAAGCACTCAGGTTGGGTTGGAGGGACTGTTTGAGGCCTCAGGATCAAGACCCACCAGAAAACGCTTTCTTGGTGTGAACATGGTCATAGGGAAAAGGAGGAAGCACATGTAGGAGATGCTACTTATCCATTTATTTAGGGAAAAAAAAAAAAGAATGATGTGTGTGTGCTTTTTTAAATAAGAGAATTATATTATCACTCTAGCTCATTCCATGTGACTTACCCAGGACATATATACTTGGAAGGCAGATTGTCTGAGTGCAGTGGATAAGTTGTAGTCCTCAGAGCTGTGGTGTGTCTGGTGTGCCGCCCACATGATGTTGACCTCTGTGAGACATACAAGGTGGGAGAGCCATGAGAAGGAGAACACCAGGGAAGGAAAGAAGTCCCTGCCACTCCCATTGTGCATACCCAGCATTCATGAGGAAGGAAGAGAAACCCTAACTGTCTGTGCCAAACTAAGTCAATGGGAGGATTACTCAATCAAACAAATAAAGCATGCGTGGTAGGCAAAGAGGAAGAGGAGAAGAAGGAAAAGAAGAAAAGGGAAATGAGGAGTTCATCACGGGACCCTAGAGGGTTGCTCCCTGCCCTTGTTTTACTAACTGTCTATGCATGGTTATGAGCTCCCAAATGGCAAGGACTGTTTTCCTTTAGCAGTAGTGGCGGCGGTGGTGGTGGTGGTGGTGGTAGTAGTAGTAGTAATAGTAGTAGTGGTGGTGATGGTGGTAGTGGTGGTGGTGGTGTATTAGTAGCAGAAACAATAGCAACAATAATACCAGTAGTAGCCATAGTAGGGGGTAGTAGTAGTGGTGGTGGAAGTGGTACTATTAGGAGTAGCAGTAGTATTAAAAGTAGTAATAATAATAATACTAGTGGCAGCACCCACAGAAGTAGAGGCTTAGGAGGAGGAGGGGGAGGAGTGATAGTAGCACTAGTGCTACAAGCAGTAGTCTTTGTTGAGTATGGTCCTAGGATCATAGGATCAGAGATTCACAGATGCTAGGTGATTTACATGTTCATTTTGCAGATGAGGAATCCAAGGCAAAGGCACGAAGAAGCACCCACAGAGAACAGGGTCCAGGCAGAGAATCTGATCTAAGTGTCTGGGTGTAAGGAGGCACACAACGTCAATTGTACTCTCAGGGTACCAGCGCTTATCCAGGGATACCCAGGGGTTAGCCCTAGCCTATTTTAATCACCCTCTATGATGTTTGTGAACTCTTTGTAGGAAAGGGCACTTCATTTTTGTCTATACTTGTACTCCAGCTTCCTGCATGATGCCTATCACCTGATAGACACTTAAATGCTTGTTGGGTTGAACTGAGATGGAAGCTTCCTGTCTGGTGCCTCCTGGGTTGCTCACACCTCGAGATTTAGAGATGATCCAATGATACTCTGGTCAGGGAATAGATGAATCGTGGCGATTCTTTCAGGGACAAACAGAATTCTACTAGCGGAGCTCCCAAGTCGTATGATTGCAAAGACTTTAAATGATAACTTTCTTTAAGGAATTATAACTAAGGATATATATGCATACACACACATATATACATATACATATGTATATACACATGCGTTTATATATGTGTCTATAAGCATATATATGCCTATATATACATACATATATACATATATATACACATACATGCACCATATGTAGACACATACACACACGCATTACCCATAGCTTACCATAATATTAAAGCAGGGCGAATGCCATCCATCCTCTACCCACATCCCTCCATACCACTTTTTTTCCCCTTCAAACATAAGAAGAAGCATGGACATTCTTTCATTTTCATCTGAAGGTTATGAGATGGAGTTTTAATTTCATTTGGGGTTTTCAAAGTTGCAGTAGGTGGAGTTCCCTTCTTAAAACCCATTGTATCTGCCAAGAAAACATTTTCAATGGAAGTTCCACAAAGGAGAACATATCCACATTCTGCATGCTGAGTATTCTTTCCTTCCTGCCATGAAGGAAGACCAAAGCCCCACTCCCCACTCCCGGCTCTACATGTCACAGAGTGGTGTTTAAGTGTTTAAGTTGTTCAAAATCCAGAAAGATGAAGAAAAAAAAGCCACATGGAGATGGTGATTATTTCTGTGCCAGCAGAGAGCCAATCATTTAGGCATGACTGCTCAGGAATGGAGATTTGGCACTGAGAGCAAGAAAAAGGCTGGGTGGTCTTTGGAGCTGGGGAATACAGGGACTCCATTGCCACAGCAGGGCATTGTGATTTGCTACACATTTCTGTGTAAACCATGACCCGGTTCATATTCCACAAACCGAGGTGGCTTTCTTCGCCCTTTGGGGGTGGGGTGAGGGGAATTCTGGAGGTAGGAGGCTGTCAAGTGGAAATGCAAAGGTCAATTGTTATTCAGTCATGTCTGACTCTCCGTGACCCCTTTTGGGGTTTTCCCGACAAAGCTACTGGAGCGATTTGCCATTTCCTTGTCCAGCTCATTTTGCAGATGAGGAAACTGAGGCAAACAGAGTTAAGTGACTTCCCCAGGGTCTCACAGTTAGTAAGTGTCTGAGGCTGGATTTGAACTCAGGAAGATGAGTCCTCCTGGTGCTTTATCCACTGCACAAAGCGCAGCTAGGGTCTGAGAGGAAGGGTTTAGTTAACTGACAATGTAGATGGGGTGGCTGATGGAGACCCAGAAGACTGTGTTCATCTGCTCACATTCAAGTTCAATGTTATCTATGCTTTGTTTGGGTAAGGGGACAATATTGACATAAAGTCTTTACTTATTTGTGATAACTGGGGTGCCCAGTAGTTGGTAGATAATGCAGCCCTCTCCAGCCATAGCAGGTATTTGAGTAAAACTGTCAAAGAAATTGTTCACGCACAAATGAGAGGTGACCTCAGTGTCTCTGCATTGATATTCATCATTTCTGACCTGGCCTAGAAATGAAACCTTAGGAATGGTGGGAATTATCAATACAGAGGGGAAAAAATGGAAACTTAAAAGGAATGGCCTAATCATTCAGTGGGGTAGCTGCGTGGCACCATAGCGCACAGAGTGCCAGGCCTGAAGTCAGGAAGACTCAACTCCCTAAATTCAAATCTGATTTTGAACACCAATTAGATGTGTGATTCTAGGCAAGTCACCTAATTTTGTTTGCCTCGGTTTCCTCATCTGTATAATGAGCTGGAGAAGGAAATGGCAAACCACTCCAGTATCTTTGTCAAGAAAACCCCAGATGGGGTGATGAAGAGTCGGTCATGATTAAAACCACTGATTGACAGCTACAATGCCTCCATGGAAGCTAACGATTCCAAGAAGGATGGACAGGGGAAAAGGATTTTCCACATATGGGGACAACGAATGCAAAGCCCTGGAGATTAGATTAGATCTGAGAAAGCCGTGATTGAAGGCTTACTATAACCCTGCTGTTCTGTGAACAGCTATATAAACCAAAAAGACAGTCCCCACCCTCAAGGAACTTACATTCCAATGGGAAAAGACAACGCATAAAAAATGAGTAGAAGAAGGTAGTCCAAAGGGGGAGGAGATGAGCCAGGTTAGAAGTGAGCATGCCTGGCACGAAGACATCTTCAAATGAAAGATCTGAAGAGGAATTCAACAACTGAAGAACAAGTCTGTGAAAGAGAAGACATTACCAGCATGAGGACTCCATTGGAAGGTGAGGTGGAGAAAGAGATTTTATGGATTTAAATGTCAAACAGAGTCATTTATATCAGATCCTAGAGATAATGAAGAGGTACTGGAGTTTATCAATTAGGTCTTGCCTTTGGTAAAAGGGGAACATTGCCATCAGTGTGGAAGGCAGATTGGAATGGGAGATATTTGAGGCAGGAAGGCCTACTCAAAGGCTATTGAAATAGCCAAAGGTAGTAAAGGCCTTCAATCCAATTGACCCATGTGAACAGAGCCAAAGGGACACGTGCAAAAGATGTTGTAGAGGTAAAAATGCGTAGATTTAGCAAATGATTTGCTATATGGAGTAAGTAAGAGGAAATGAAGTTGACATAAATTTTGCAGAATTCGATTAGCAAAATGGTGGTGCTCTCCACAGTAATGAAGAAATTGGAAAGAAGCAAGCCTGATGGGATGGCACATAATGAATTCTGTTCAGAATGTTCAGGTCTCTGAGATACTTACAGGACGTCGGCTTCAAGATGCTAGATTTGGAGAACAGCTGGTAGGTGAATCTGTATCATAGAAGGAAATGATGTGTGGTCATTCTGGAAAGATTCAGATGCCTTATGATTTCAACTCAGGAAGAAAAAGATACTTTGACAGTGAAGTACCTGAGTCAAGAAAACCCAGACTCTATGTGCACTGAGAGAGTGTGCAGCACCGAGATCTGGTGCTATCCTTTCAGGGCGCTGTGTTCTGTGCTGGGCATCCGTTTTAGGAAGAATCTTAATAAGCCAGAGAAAGTCCAGGGGAGAGAAACCAGATTGTGTCAGGGCCTTGCGTTCAAGATAAAAGAGGATTAGTTAAAGTAACTGGGAATGTTTATCCTGGCCTAGAGAAGACTGGGGAGGGGCTGGGAGGAGAGAGGAAAGCTGTCTTCATGCATTTGAATGGCTATCCCAAAGAACTGCATTAGGCTTGTGCTGCTTGGCCCCAGAGGGCAAAAGCCTGAAGCTGGAAGCTGGAAAGAGAAAAGCTAGGCTTTCTATTAAGTGAAAAGGTCACTAGTCAGTCAGTCAGGAGGTAGAAGTCTTCAATTTAAGCAAAGCTGGGTGAACAATTCTTGGTCAAGATGCGGAGGAATCTGGGGTGAACACGGCAGCCTCTGAGGCCCCTTTGAAAATGTGAGCTTCTCTGCTGAAATTCTACAAATTCTCTGAGATTAACTATGGCTGGTCCTGGGGCTTTTTTTTTTTCCCTTTGGCTTTTCAACCTTCCTGTAGTGTAGATCATTAACCTCTTCCAATAAGTGCCCTTCCCTCCTCCTCCTCGCCTTCTAGACCCTTCATCATACTACCCCCTTTCCCTGACATTACAAATAGAAGCCTTTGAAAAATATGAAGCCCTTTGGGATTTATTTATTTGTTAATGCTATTTTAATGCAGCCAAGCTAACGCACTCACTAGGGGATGGGTTGTTCAGGTGAGTTTCAATCGCAGGCTAATGACCTATGGGTGCCCAACTTCCTCATGACCTCCACAGAAGCTCAGTGAGGGAACAAAGAATCTGAAGAGGTGGAGGTTAAAAACCTGTCTCTTTGGTTGTTTTAAAAGCATTTACTTCCGATCACAAACTGTGTGTAACACAAGCCCTCACCCAATGAAGCCCAGCTGTGCAAACAGGGGACTGTAACTGGATCTGACTGCTTCACCTCG